ACTACAAAAGGGAGGATTTTCATGGACAGTGCATGCAAGTGGTATCCATGCTTCCACTCACATTCTCATGATTAGAATCTAGTACAATGTAGGCTGAAAATTCCGCCTAATGCTTTAGAGGCTGGATTCATGCAAAAAGTACTGAAGGGGCTGGGGTTGTGGCTCAGTGGTAGAGCGCTCCCCTTGCATGCACGAGACCCTGGGTTCAATCCTCAGCACCACATAAAAATAAATAAGTGAAATAAAGGTATTGTGTCCAACTACAACTAAAAATATAAATATATTTTTAAAAAGTACTGAAAATTTTTGCTTGTTGAAATCAAAACTGGGAGTTCTTGCAAAATACATAAAGATAGATTTGACTCTCAGTCTTTCTTAATCTCCTCTTAAGCAATTGAACTCAGACAACTTACATTATACATATGGGCCTCTACTCACTATTTCATTTGGTAAAAGAAGATGACGATCAAGCTTAGGTTATTATATACTCATAGTGAGTTTTAAATGGTGTGAAACAGGAAGAACATGAATACAAAGCTGGTGTATAGTGAATGACAACTTTTCTATTAACATTAATAGCAGTGATGATGCTAGATCATCATCATTGGAAAATAATAGAGTATTGCCAGGGAAAGGTATATTTTAATCACAGGCCCCTAATAGATGTGAAATAGGAACTGTTCTAAATCTTTTTTCTATTCTAAATATCTTTCCCCTAGAGAAGCATGGAAAGAGGTTGGAATATGCTTTCTGAAGGGCCCAGAACAAGCTTTTGATCTCACCTGAGCTTTTTGACACTGTGTAACTTGATAGTAAACAAATTATGTCACATACTTGGCGTGCATGCCTTAATAATTTCTGAAAAGCCACTAGAGGGTGCTACTTTGTAAGGAAAATAAAAGTGCCTTCTTACAGTAGCGTTCAGTCTGCAGCCGCGACGTCTGTTGTCAGGGGCTAGAACCAAGATCTCCACTGTGAGTATCTGGGTACAATTTACTCATTTATCTTTTGTGTTGGAAGTAAATAGCAATAGTTTAGGTAAGCCACAAAAGTTGATTCAGATAAAATCCTAGTCTTGTGTTTCAGTAAATATTTCTATCAATTCTGTAAGGGAAAAGCTGAGAATATTTGTTACCAAACAAAATTGTGAGGCTGTATGACTTTCTTATGAGAGATAAGCTGGTTTCAGTGTGTGTGCTGTGTTTTTACTAGATAGCTGTTGTTTTAAGTTTGGGATAATGATTTTATGCTGTCTTTGGTAGTCTTTACTATAAGGTTTGGTATAAGGAAGATATTCTTGCATTATTTTTGTCCTCTGAAAGATGATATTTCAATGATCCAAAGGTCACAAATATATTCAGGTGGTGAGGTACAGATAAATTAAGTAGGTGACCTTCTTTTTTTGT